TTTGCCGACTTCAAAAATTGTTGAATAAAACATTTGTCGTCAATGATATTTCCTGTTTTGGAGGCTAAATGATCTAAGTCGTAAAAATAAGTTAGTGGGTCCTCTGTTGTGCCTTGGCGTCGTGTGAAGAATTTTGCAATATTATTTGTAGATGATGGAAATTCATCACAAATTTTCTTTTCTAGAATCTGAAAATTCTCACAAGACTCGTTAATTTTTTTATAGAACAACAATGCAGGTCCACTCAAATATGCCGACAACACAACTCTTTTTGTATCCTCGTTGAAATTATTGATAGCGGCGATGATATTAAATTGACGAAAGAAATCGGTTACATCACCTTTTCCGTCGAATGTGGTCCTGGTCTCCATCTTCATAAAACTACTTTTTTCTTGATTTAAAATTATTTTTCACTCGCGGTACTTGAAGCTAACGCGGCGCGTCCACCATATAGAGTTCTACCCAGAATGGATAGAACTTGGGGACGTGCTTATTAATTAAACGATACTGGTAGAGATAAATTATTTATTTATTTTTATCATTCAGGCGAATATAAAGAAATTTTATCTAAATACGAGAGGAAGTTCTTGGTGCCTGAAGATCTAATCTAGAATGGAACCTTCTATCAAAAGACAGACGATTCCTTATTTCAAATTAAAATCATAACATTAACTTTTTAATATAACTGCCAACCGTAGGCATTGCAAAAGCAAAGAGTTTACTTAAACAAGGAGGCTGTAACGTCGAGGACGTTACAGGACCTTATCTCCAGAATACTAAGTTAGGATGGATAGTGGCTGGCCCTATCTCCTTTGAACATAGGCGCATTATTCCTGTTCAATGTAATTTCACCCAAACGTTAGAAATAGGGGAACAGTTAAGAAAATTTTGGGAGATAGATGATGTAAGCCACAACAATAATTTATATACCCACGAAGATAAAGTTTGTGAAAAATTATTTATAGGCACAACTAAGCGTTTAAAAGATGGTCGGTTTTCTGTGCGCATACCGCTAAAAGAGTCAACGACTGAACTTGGCGATAGTTACGAAGTCACTAAAAATCGGTTTCTTTCACTTGAGCGAAAACTTGAGCGTAATGTTGAGTACAAACAAATGTATCATGAATTTATAAACGAGTACATAGGGCTAGGACACATGGCTCGCGTTGAGGGTTGCCCGCAACCTAATTATTTTCTACCTCACCATGGTGTGTTCCGTGATGATAGTGTTACCACGAAGTTGCGTGCGTTGCGTGTGTAGTGTTCAACGCTAGTCAACCTACGTCATCCGGAAAGTCACTTAACGATATTCAAATGACGGGTCCCCCTTTACAGAGTGATTTGTTTGCACTTCTTTTACGTTTCCGCCAGTATCAATATGTTGCGTGCGCTGGTATTGAGAAAATGTTCAGGCAGGTGTTAGTACAAGAAGATCAACGGAATTTACAGATGATACTATGGCGAGAAAGTCCTTCCGAACCACTTTCTGCATATCAGCTCAACACCGTTACGTACGGAACCGCGTCTGCACCCTATCTTAGCATGCGATGCGTTAGACAGTTAGGGCATGAATGCACGAGCGCGGAAATCGCACATACAATATTAAATAACTTTTATGTCGACGATTATCTGGTAGGTCATAATAATAAGACGGAATTAGTGCGTATATGTAAAGGTGTTATCGATGTGTGTAAGTCGGGCTGTTTTCCATTACGAAAGTGGATATTTAACTCGGATGAAATCGCTAAGGAAGTCGCTCAAGATGATAACTGCCAGTTGAAACATTTTACATTAAACGAGAATAAGTCTAATAAAACATTAGGTTTAGGCTGGTCTAATAATAATAACGAATTTCATTTTATTTCTAAAATAAAAGGTGTTGAATTACCTTTAACGAAACGCTTGATATTGTCAGTCGTGTCGCAAATATATGATCCATAAGGTTTATTAAGTCCTGTTATCATTAGGGCAAAGATATTGTTACAAAAATGATGGTTATGTAAACTAGATTGGGATGAAGTAGTTCCTCTAGAAATAAAAGGTATATGGGAGAAATTCGTTAATTCATTAACTTCATTACATTTAATTCGAGTACCTCGTCATATAATGGGGACTAATCCAGTTCGAATCGAACTCCATATATTCACAGATGCTAGTGAAAACGCATACGGCATGTGTGCATACAGCCGTACATTCTCTGAGACCGGTGAACTTACAGTACGAATGATCTGTTCAAAGAGCCGCGTCGCTCCAGTCAAGTCGGTCAGTATACCGCGACTCGAGCTCTGTGGCGCGGTAATCTGTGCAAAATTATTTAATAGGATAAACAGTGTTTTGCCGGGTGATCTAGTTACAAAAACCTATTTATGGAGTGATTCTACGATAGTATTGTGCTGGATAAACATGTCATCTCATCTACTTAAGCCTTTCGTGAAAAATAGGGTTATAGAAATAAACGAATTAAAATCAAAACTTAAGTGTGATCGTTTGACAGGTCCTTTGTCAGTGACAGAATTAAAGGAGTCGTTGAAATTTATTGTTCTAAAAGTGCAACTGGAATCATTTCCAGAGGAACATAAAGCTTTATTAAGTAAAATTCCAATAAAATCATCTCGTGGCTTATTAAGTTTAAATTTGTTTCTAGATAACAATAATATGATCCGAGTGGGAGGTCGATTGTTTAATTCGCCTGAATTCTCATACAACAAGAAGCATCCTATGCTGTTGTGTGGTAAGCATTATGTAACACAGCTGATTTTCAAACAAGAGCACCTACGGCTGTTACACGCTGGACCTCAACATTTACTTGCGCACATTAGGGAGACCTGGTGGCCTTTGGGTGGTAGAAACCTGGCTAGAAAAACTATATTACAGTGTAAAATCTGTACTCGTATGAAGGGTGAAACAGTGAAACCAATAATGGGAAATCTACCAAAGGAACGCGTAAAGGCTGATTTTCCTTTCATAAATAGTGGTGTTGATTATGCTGGTCCATTCTATATATTGAATCGAAAGGGAAGGGGCTCTAAGCTTGAAAAGTGTTATTTATGTTTGTTTGTCTGCTTTACTACTAAGGCTTTGCACTTGGAACTTGTTACCAATTTAACCTCTGAATACTATATTTTAGCATTAAAAAGGTTTATATCTCGTAGAGGAAAACCACTTTGTATTTTTTCTGACCACGGTAGGAATTTTGTGGGTGCTAAACGGGAACTTGTAAATTTCTAATGTGGGGAGTCTCAATCTATAATTGATTATGCTTCATCCAATGGGATAGAATTTAAATTCATACCACCCTACGCACCTCATTTTGGCGGTTTATGGGAAGCAGGGGTGAAATCCTGTAAACACCACATCACCCGGGTGTTAGGCAATAGTCATTTAACTTATGAGGAGTTCAGTACAGTTTTGGCACAAATCGAAGCTGTCCTGAATTCCCGTTCTATGTATTCTCTGTCCTCAGACCCAACAGATTTTACCCCACTCACTCCGGCACACTTCCTGATCGGCCGACCGCTGACCTCACAAGCAAGCGAGGATGTCACAAGCACTCCATCACACTCATTATCCCGGTACAAGCGCATCGAGCCGCTTAGGCAACATTTTTTAGGCGATGGTCAACCGAGTATATTGGGGAACTACAGACTCGCACTAAGTGGAAGGAATCAAAAGGAATATTAGCACCTGACACTTAAGTGCTCATCAAAGAAGATAATCTACCTCCCTTAAAGTGGCGTTTGGGAAGAATTTTGTCTGTGATTCCAGGGAAAGACGGCGTTCCCCGAGTGGCCAGTATAAGAACAGCTAATGGAGTCATTGAGAGAGCGTTTCCGAAGATATGTCCCTTGCCAGTTTCAACAAAGGAGGAAGATGCATTTACTAACACATCTGTTCAACGTTGTTGAGAGCAACTGCACAGCTCTCAAGGCCCGCCGGCATGTTCATGAATAGCTCCATCTAGCGATCGGACGTAACAACGCACGAACAAGGACGTGTTTCAACTGGCAACAATCTGTCACCGTTGGGAATAGTTATCACCGGAACCACGGGATGGCGTTGTATATCAATATAAAACCCAAGAACACGAACGCGGGGCACTTTTTTTGGCCAAAGGGGTCCAGCTTCGACCCTCTCAGACTACATATATATATTCAAAATTAATGTAACGAAGTTGAAAATATACCTATGTTTATTTATTGAGAAGTTCGCTTTATTTCCTCAACAAATACAACAATACATGGAGAAGTCGCTTTATTTCCTCCCAAATACAAGAAAAATATACAATCACTATTATCTGCAATTAGTATTAGCTCGTGAAGTTACGGAGAATAGCGTAGCTGCATAACAACTAACGACAACAACTAAGCTATGCTTTGGTATTAAATCGTTGTGATAAGCTTTATAGACGCATGTAATGCTAATCTATTCCCTCGGCTGTGTAGTCATCCACTCTGTTTTTCATGGCCGGAAAATCATAAAAGTTTCCGATCGATTTTCCGTTTATTATTCGAATTCTACTGTACATCCAGGCTTCATTTGCGTGTTAAATCAATCCTGGATAGTGTCTTTACAAACTTATCTATATATTAGATGTGTAAATTGAAAACCTTTACTAATGATAAAACGAAAAATATGAAAAATGAAACGATGAAGATAATTTTCTCAACTCGTGGCAGAAATCATTCACTTACAAAGCTGAGACGCTGAGCTACTCTATATATTCTCCATATCAAGTACATTTCACTAAATGTGAACAATTTTATGGTTTTCATCAAACAGAAAAATGTCATGTCAATTTTCTACGGAGAAATATCGGTTCCTTGAATAATTCATTTCAGCTCGGCATCCCTATTCCCTACGCATGACAACATGTCAACGATGACATTGACGTATGAGACGAGTAGGTGTAATCGTTTCATTTTATTCCTTTTGCACACAACCTTAATTTTTTAATAAATCTGTGTATATTTCTGTGATTCTAAATTAAACGATTAATAAAAATGGATTATCAGAGCAGGCAACTAGCCGAAGATTTCTTTTTGAGGGAACCAGTGGATGCCAGAATAAGGTAAGTTGTACCATAGTAAACCTTCTTGCACAATATTATTTTGTCTTAGAAATCCTTTAAGCGTACCTATATCATATTATCATTTATAGGAAGCCTAAAGATGAGCCCAATGAAGATCCACACCCTAATCTTAAGGTGGAGATGCAAACTGTTCGTCTCAATCCAGATTCTCAAAAGTTGGTTTTGGATACCTTGAGGTTTATACATGGACCTGATTTTAAATTGGGTAGTGCAAGTCTTTACAAGGTATTTAAATAATAATCTATCTAACTAAATACAATTTGTTCATAAGAAACTTCACAAATAGACAGGGGTGTAATATCAAATTAAACAAAAAACTATCATAATTATATATAGACAACCTCCATAGCAGAGTGGTTTGTACGCTGGGTTTCATGGTGTTGCCGACTCGAGGTCTCGGTTTCGAATCCCGGTGGGGGCAGATGTTTGTGTGATGAATACGTGCATTTGTACTCCAGTCATGCATGTTTAATATGTATTTCTATATAAATATACTTATATATGTACAATATATGTATCCGTTACCCTAGTATCGCATAACACAAGCCTTACAGTGCTTAATTTGGGGCTAGGCTAATTGGTGTGAGTGTTGGAAATATTTGTTATTATGATTATTAAATAAAACAGCACTCAAGTGCTAAATTTGCATAGAAAGGGGTACTAAGTTTTTCTATAATATGATTATGTCCTGGAATACTTTGGAAATGAGACAACATTTGCTTTTTGTAAATTAAAATGATAATTTATTTGGATTAAACACGACAACAACATACAACACAAAGTACATTTGATTATGATTTATTGTATATTAATAGCCGCTTTATTTAAAAAAAATAGTTTGCAGCATGTGCATAAGGAAGAAACATTGTTTATTTACTTTTCTTATATTTTACAGGATAAAGGCTCAAATCTCGGCAATCGCTACTGGATGGAAAGAGGTAACCTAATAGTTCAGGGAGGTTGTGATTACTCTTTGACAGTAAAACCTGATATGGAATCTTCCGAAGTCAGGCTGAGAGCTTTTGCTCTGGCTAAATTAGAAAAGTGAGTATCATAATCATTTCTATAACTTGCCTTGCCTAACTTTATCCTAGTTTTCAAGTATCTATATAATTTTCAAGTATATATAGTGTGTATGAGCACTTGGAAAATTTTCATGAAAAGAGAAATGTTGCAAAAGGTTTTATTAATAATAACACTGAAGACATAAATTTATTATTATTATTATTGAGCAACAGCTCCAACAGTGTCCTGAGTGCACATGCTGACCGATGGGACTCCCCGCTATTGCGACACTGGCTTAAGCTACATTCGCCAGTCTATCATTATAATTATTTATAAAAAACAGACGAGTCCCATCGGAATCCGAATGTGTTATATTGTTATTTGTTGTATTTGTGTTGGATTGTACTTTTTTCATTTACTAACACTAGAATAAGATTACGTCTGTTACTAACACTTGGATTTAAAGTCTGAAATAAATGGTTATTATTATTATATATAACTATTTTAGCCACTGAAAACTTCTTGTAGGCACATAATAGTATATGATGTGTAAAACTAGCATTAAATAAACGGTATAATTACGCATCTGGTCAAACTACATTTTTCTACAGTTTTGAGGTTTTTAGCTCATTGAATTTGAATCTCAAATAATTTTCAATCAAATTATATATATTAAATACCATGCCAAAGGCTCACTGGAGCTATGTCATTCAGATTTATGTAATAAAATAAAATTTTATGTATTTATACCGTTTTGTTCGCCAGCTCCTCAAATATAAGTTTGTGAACCATGTAAAAATATGTAACAAATATACCTTTAATCATTAAAATATTATTGTTTAAGTAAATTACAGTCTTGGCTAATATTACATTGGGCTCAAATTTATTTTCCTATAACAGTTATATCTTAAAGGCTTCGATCAACAATTCTATAGATAACAGGTTGCATACAAAATCAAAGCTAAAAACTGTCTGCGAGAGTATATACTTATTCAATTCCCAATGAACAAAGACAACTGTTTTAAAACAGTTTAAGTTGAATCTAATAACAACAATGTAAAAAGGAATAAAGTTACAAATAACAAAATGTTATTTTGTACATACAACCTTTTATCTCATAAAATAAACAAGACAATAATTTTATCTAATACTTGGAAAAAAATTGATAAAAGGTGAAAAAAGGAAAATGTTAAATCAACCTTATGACCCACAAAATGAAGTATTTAATTAAATGAAGTATTGTCATAGCAAAATGGTTGTTGGAAAAAAGTTGGACAAAATATATGTTGACAAATATTCTTATAAGAGGTTTGATATTCTGATTTTATTAGAGATATGACATTACTTATTACTGTAAAGCATAAAATTTTGTGTATTTGACAAGTTCTTACTGAAAGTAAGATACTCCGACAGAGACATTGCTTATTTGGTAGTTATTTTTGCAACTTTTGAATGCACATTTGTTTCATCCTGACACATATTTACATTGGCTGCGTATAAACCAAATTAATTGAAAAAGAACATCTCTGGCCTCTAGTGATAGCTATATTTACCAAGATGGATTTTACATCCTGACCCATTATCTATAGTATTGTTGATCAAAGCTCAAAGGGCTCAAATTCCAAAACTATGCTCTGCTTTATTAGGATTTTATTATGTTTTCACTTAAGCAGTTGGAACTTTATAAATCTATTCTTTTTGTTTACCCCACCTGGGACACAGCATGAAAATAGATAGATAAAAAGATGTTTAGAATTGTATTTATTTATAATATAAGTATTTTTTGCTTTTTAGATATAATTTCCACAAACCACATTGCGCTGAAGCATTAGAAGTGGCAGCTGAAAGTCTTGAAAAAGCCTTAGAAATTTTGTTTATGAAATATTTTAAAGTTGAACCACAAGAAAGACCCAATGATATACCAAGCCAAAATGAATTGTTAGAAATGAGAACAGATGAGACAGCAGTATTAGAATCAATATATGATACAAGCTTCAAAATAAAAGACAATAATGTTTGGACTGTTAAATTGCAATTAGATTATCTTACAAAGATGTATGAAAATAAAGATGTTGATAAATCTAAAACTAAAAAGAATGTTAACTATAATAATAACTTAAAGAGTAAACCAAAAGAGGTGTGCAAGCTTTATTTAAAAGGTCCTTGTCGATTTGGTGCTAAATGCAAATTTTTGCATGAAAGTAAAGTAGAGGAGCATATCTCAAATACAGTGGTTACCGATGATACAAAAATTAATTATGAATTAGAAATAAGATTCCCGGAAGACTCATGGTATCCTTATCAACCTCCATTAATATTTTTCAAGGCAGAGACTTCTACAACTCTTATACCTCAAACAGTGTTTTTGAAAGTAACAGCAAAACTGTTAGCAGAAGCTAAAGTCTTTGCTCAAGATGGTATACCGAGTGTATATTCATTAGTCGAATTATTAAACAATGAGGAGGATATAAAGAATTTTATACAATTTGACACTGGCACTTTTCCTGAACCTTCAGAGCCTTTGTTCCCTCAATTGATTGAGGATTCTAGTTTAAGTAAAGAAAAGTTACCCTCCCATTATAAAAAAAGTCAAAACAAAAACACTAGAAATAATATAAATATGGATGAAGTTATAAAAGAAAATAAAGAAATTGCAAAGAGATGGTTAGAAAAGCCATCTAACGACAGATACAACAAAATGATGCACACTAGAAGAAAATTGCCGGCATGGCAGAAACGTAGTGATATTTTGAATGCTATGAAGAAGTCACAGGTGAGCTAACGAGTATTTAATAAAAATAATAATATTATACATACTAAAGTGTGAAGGGTTCTGATTCTAGTAGAACAGCCTATGAAGTCATAAATAAAAGCTAAAAAAAGAGATTGGTAGCATATGAGAAGCCATAAAAATTGCAGTGACATTTTTTTTTACTAATTCTTCAATTATTATATGGGCTTATTTAGGCCTAAAAGCTGCATGAATGACGTTCACGAACGTCGATAATATTATTTATATTGAAGTATTCACTTTGCAATTAAAATAATTATATAAAAAAAGACAAATACTTCATTGAACAGTATTTGATTTGAATTTAAACTTGCTTTGAAACAATAGTGAGAGACGTGTCCATTCATACAGTAAATGATCTACTTCGGTGGCTTTATTTGTTGACTTAACCTATGTTTTTCCTTCATTCCTGCTATATGAATATAAAAACCACACATATTTTATTTTCTTTCACTGCTATTTTAATTTTCGAGCTCTTAAAATTTTTCATTCACACTTTTGTTCCCAGGTGATAGTAATAAGTGGAGAAACGGGATGTGGTAAAAGCACTCAGGTACCTCAGTATATTCTAGATAATTGGTTGGACAACTTTAATAAAGGTGGTTTGCAGCATGTTGAGATAGTCTGCACCCAGCCCAGAAGGATATCAGCAATAGGAGTAGCTGATAGAGTGGCAGAAGAGAGGGTTGAGAAGACTGGCCAAGTTATTGGATATCAGGTGAGTTATGAATAAAAATCTTATTTTTAGGGTTCCCTCAAAAAGAAAAACGGAACCCTTATAGGATCACTTTGTTTTCCGTCCGTCCGTCTGTCAAGACCGTTTTTCTCAGGAACGTGTGGAGGTATCAAACTGAAATTCATATGTAATACTCAGGTCAACTGTCCCTTGGAGCTGTGAAAAAATCAAACTTCTAAGCCAAAGCAATCAAAAGATACAGCGGTTTATGCCGCAAATTTCAGCAAATATTCGAAACTCGCACGGGAGTCAAAACCTACAGGGTACTTCCCTTGAACTTATAATCTTGAAATTTGGTATGAAGTAACGTTTTATAGTACAGCTAAAGGAAAAATTGTGAAAACCGTAAATTTTTAGTTACATAATAAAAAATATTTTTGAAAATTCAGTTTTGTACGGAATCCCCGGTGCGCTAGTCCGACTCGCACTTAGCCGGGTTTTTTTTTTTGTGTCGGTGTGTAAGTTTTTTTGAGGTCCATGAGCTAAGCAGGTTAGGTCATGTATGTAGCTGCCATCCTTTACTTTGGCATAATAATGTCTCAGACTTTTGACTTAAAGTTTACTAAATTGTGGTTTATTTTTCCAATATTGTGATATTTCTTGTGCATATGTTAAAAACCATATCAATTTATATAAAATTCTGAACTTTATTGTTATTTGTTTTGAATCGGAACTAAGATATTTTGTAGCATGTTTTGAAGTAGGTAAATAAATTATCTTAATTTCGATTAAATTAACATCAATTACCTATTTCTTTATTGATATTTTAATTATAATACAGCGAACAGTGGCATAAATATCGTTAATTCAACCATGTGTCTCACTTTCGTAGTAAATTCAATTGACTTCCTATTCGCCGGCGCAGGGATTTACATAAACTCACAGTTCTTTTTTCTATAGTTTTCCTACCATCTTCTCTTTTCTATTTTCTTCTGCTCAGCTCTCCCTGCGATCCTCTTCTAACCTTCTTCTTGAAATTCCTTGTCACTCTTCTGACTCCTTTTCTTATTCCTTTTCTGTGCACGTTGCTCGGCTGTGGAATTCTCTCCTTGATCAGAAAGGCTTTTTGAATTAAGTCCTTTAGCAATCAAGTTAAAAGCTATTTCCTTTACGTTTCTTAAATTCATTTAGTATCCCATTTCTTTACTTCTCTTGAATATTTATGTAAGGATATCTCCGGTATTTAATTTTGCACCCTTCTATATTTATCTATATTATTATTCCTCTTCCACCATAGGTTGCCTGGAAGAGATTGCTGTTTAGCAATAGGCCTCCTATTGTACTCTTTCTTCTGTTTTATTTGTTTATGTCTTGTATCCTGTGTTGTGTGCAATAAATAATATCTATTATTTTTATTATTATTATTAACCCAGGTTAATGAAATTTTGAAGAAAACTAACTTTCACATCTCCATTATTATTTTAGATAAGATTAGAAAGCAAGGTTTCATCCAAAACCCGATTAACTTTCTGCACCACCGGTATACTGTTACGGAGACTTGAGTATGACCCTCAATTACAATCCGTCACCCACGTGGTAGTCGATGAGGTTCATGAACGGTCCGAAGAGAGTGATTTCCTTTTACTGATCCTCAGAGACCTGGTGAAGGTCAGGAAAGACCTCACCGTTATATTGATGAGTGCCACTTTGAACGCAGAACTGTTCTCGGATTACTTTGGCAACATACCAGTGTTGGAAATTCCAGGTAATACAGATTTTATGTGCTTTTTTTATGCTAGCGCTTCAAATGGATGATAGTATCTGCATTTGTACATTTGACAGCAGTATATCCTTATCGGGCTTAATAGGGAATGAAAAGGAGAGACTTTTGTCAAATTTACAAATTGCAGATACGAATAGCCGCTAAGTAATACATTTTTAATGCATTATTTTGTATAAAATATTGGGTCTTTAGACTTTTTCCTTTTATAAACTTTAATAATGCAAAATCTCACAGTCCTCCGTGCGCAAAATGTTTGCTGTATGTGAAAGGGGTACGAAAGTTTTTCCTTAAAAAAAGTCAAAAGCCAAAATTCTTTTTACAACTTGGAAGCTTAATACAACGCTTTTGAATCGTCCCTATTTTATTCCCTACCACCAGTTAAGAACATTTTTCAGCTGTGAAGAAAAACTGGTAAAAAATCTTTACTGTGTTTAATAATTATGTAACAATATTTACATATCATCCTAGTAGCCATAATTCAATGACGTTACATTATCATTGGTTGGCCAATAACATTCTAATCTATTAGTCCTAATAAAGTCTTGACTCCTTCTATTAAATCTAAAGAAAAGTTTTACTAGAAAAAAAATCCTTCTATTAAAACAAACAGGGAAGATACGGCACATGCGGCTCAAATTGAACCGCTTAAATTGTGGTGCATGACCACAATTCGCTTTAGTCACAATTGAACATTCAAACACGCTGCATGTGCACTCAATATAACAATATTGCGTATATTCTGTGTTATACAGATAAAACAATGTCTTCGATGCTTTTGTAAAGAACACAAATAGTTCAAGATCAAATAACAAATGCCACGGCAACACTTTTCATTCGTAAAAGTATATAAAACTATTTTTTACATAAAAAACATGGTTTTTCATGAATGAAATCAAGAAAAGGACAACAAGACTGCTCAGCCGTTTGTAAAGAGAAAAAAGAAAACACACTCGGTTGCCAAGCGACGCGGACTCGCCGTTTCACTCGCCCTGCGTTGAAGTTTACAGTTTTGTCTCGCTCACTCGATTGAATGTTTATTTGAAGAAGTGTGCGTTTGTGAGAGTTGCTTATGTAGTTGAGTCGGACCATATTTATTTGATGCTAGTAGGAGCTAAACGTAGAAGAGGTAGATAATACAAAAGATGGGAAGATGATCTACCCAAGAGTTGGCGACGAGCAGCCACAGATAGGAACCAATGGGCCAATTTGGAGGAGGCCTATGTCCGAGGACAACCTAATTGTACACGTGCCGATGTCAGTGATTAACCTAAAAGTTTTCATTTTAAGTTACTTTTAACTTGTACAGAGAATAAAGGCTATATTTATTTATTTATTTATTTTATTTTATTTTATTTTATTTTATTTTATTTTATTTTATTTTATTTTATTTTATTTTATTTTATTTTATTTTATTTTATTTTATTTTATTTTATTTAGTAGGAGCTCGATGGCGCAAGTGATTAGCGCGTTCGGTTGCGATCTTTGAAGTTATAGTACAGTCAATCTGTCGAAAAAAATATCGTTTCAGTGAAAAAAAAACCTAAAGGGTAAGTCTTGTTTTTTCTGTTGCCAAATGACGTCAGTAAGCCACCTTGGCGATGGGCATGTTCAACTCGTAGGCGTTTTTTGAAAAACTCAAAAAAACCGTCAAAAATTTTTTGAAACGCATTTTTCTTGTTTTATATGCATTTTAGAGACTTTTTTTCCAACATAATTGTAGAGGGCGTTGAGTACTACAATTTATGTCATTGTTGCAATCTCGTACAACAAAAAATGCGCATTGTAGGTGGCGCTAAAGTCTCAAAAAAGTGTTTTTTCACTTTTTCACCCTGAAAATATCATTTTAATGGAAAACTTTAAATGGCACAGTTGTTTCGTACATAATTACCAACAACTTTTGTATAAACAATGTTTTTGTATTACTTACCGTTTTCAAGTTATAAATTGCGCAGGTATGAAAAATCCAATAGAGCGGTTTTGGGCAGTTCAAGTACACATTTGCAGTGCACATTTCAATGTACGTTTTACTATTTTTTATTTTTTTTCATGATTGAAAATCAAAAAAAAATGAAAAAAAAATAAAAAAAAATAGTTTTATTTTTAATTTTTTTCATGATTAAAAAAAACATAGTAAAAACGTACATTGAAATGTGCACTGCAAATGTGTACTTGAACTGCCCAAAACCGCTCTATTGGATTTTTCATACCTGCGCAATTTATAACTTGAAAACGGTAAGTAATACAAAAAAAATGTTTATACAAAAGTTGTTGGTAATTATGTACGAAACAACTTTGCCATTTAAAGTTTTCCATTAAAATGATATTTTCAGGGTGAAAAAGTGAAAAAACACTTTTTTGAAACTTTAGCGCCACCTACAATGCGCATTTTTTGTTGTACGAGATTGCAACAATGACATAAATTGTAGTACTCAACGCCTTCTACAATTATGGCTCAAAATCACCAAGGTGGAAAATACTGAATTCTGTTTTATGATGCTATAGAGTAGAAGCTAAATATAATGATAATTACTCTAAATCATAACTAAACTTATGTTAAACTGTATTGACCTTGGCTGAGCATAGAATTAAATACTTTTCTTGAAATTTCAATTTTTAAGTGTGCTATCACTAAAATTAATCATTCGGGGAACGGTATTCGGAAGTTTATAATTAAATAAAAATATATATATATATTTCATTTTTACCCTTAACGATAACGGAGATAGGTCGCCAATAGTACGAACTTAAAAAACTTTGACAAAATTTGGAATTAAAACGTTTTTAAGGACAATGTCGCTGTAAATTAAGCTATATGACTATTTCATGTTCTTAAATTTACAAAATAAGTGAATATCGCTCACTTGCATATAAATAAATCTGCGGTAGCTATAGGGATTCCGCCTGTTTCCAATATTATCAGACTTTATTCCTAAATAACTTATGTTATAATGGCATTTCTTTGATTTTAGAGGTGTTCCCCGAAATGATGAGGGCATTCATCAAATGACGATTTGCAGACAATTAGGGTTTAATTCACAGTTAAATTGAATAATAAGCCAAATTATAGGAAGTAATTGTTATTTATTTATTTGCTATAAGATTTATTCTTAACAAGAACTTACTTAATTCTAACTCAATTAAATCACTTTTTTAGTTTCATAATTGATGACACAGCCAAGTAAAACTCTTGACGTCAGTGCTTTAACTGAACATGAAAGGAGGCGTTTCTGCTTCTTAATCCCGTTTTTCTTTACGAAATCTCTCTTGGCTGGACACACCCTACTGACATCATCTCTTTGGAAGAACTCTTTGACTTTTTCGCGAACTTCTTTATTCAAAACAACCTCATGAATTTTGGCGTCAGATTTGAGAATAGTACTGGTTTTCTCTTTTGGCAAAAAACAATTAACCTTATGAAGCAATTTGTATTGCCTTACCATAATCCCGCTAACACATTTTTGAAAAACTACCCTCTCTTTGGATTTTTTTCTCAAATAAAAGATTTCACTTCGTTAAATAAAATATTCTTGCGCACTTCAGGAGGTACGTCAACGTTTTCTAACAATGCGTTAACTTTGCTATTGGGAGTTGTAGGGTTCTGAGACTTCAATTCCTTCCTTTAAGTAAGCTGTACTGTTTTTCTTTATTTGCTTATTCGAACGGTTTTTTTCAGCTTTGTGAGACTCCATATTGCTGTAAAAATAAAGTTAGTATACCTATTGATAACTTTGTAAGCACGACATACACAAAATTGACAGTTAGTAATAGAAAGTACCAATTAGTAACTAAATAGTCATTTGGGGAACAACAACATCATTTAGAGAACGGTCCATCAAATCGGAGAACGTTCCCCAAATGACCGTTCACCAAATGATATTTTCAAATAACCGCGTCTTTTTTAAACGGCAGCCATATTTGACAGCAATTCTTGCTTCCTTAATGTAAAATATTTGTTTATAACATTTGTTATACAACACTATAAAAGCTATTATTGCATAATTTTGATTGGAAAACGCGTTCCCCAATTGACGACCTATTGATGTACGCTCTGTAAATAATGAATTGAAAGCCACTTACCACTTATTATAATTTCATTTGGCGAACTACTGTCTTCACAGCCACTTTGTTTACAACTCTCTCTACAGCTGTTCCATAGACTAAAGAGGGATGCGTTCGAAATTTTTTGTTTCGCGTAATCAAAGCTGCGTTCACTAACATGATGCTTATCTTGTCGGACATTATATTTAGACTTAGATTTTTTAAATTCGTTTTTCTTCTTTAATAATGCTTTCAATAATGTAATATTAGATACAATTGAAGGTGAATGGGTATCAATAACCGTTAAAAATGTTTTATTTTATGACTATTTCTGGTGTTAGCTTTTAAGAATTGCTACTTAGGACGCGTTCTCCAAATGATTTTTTGTACTTATTTGTCCATATAAAATGTAATATATAAGACTTTTTAATTATTTTGTGTGATGTGTGGTTAAAGTAAACACAGTTAAGTGTTTACCAATGCTAAAATGTTAAAAAAAATACAGAATTTAGGCATTTATTTGCTGCCGAAGTGGATTTACCACCTTGGTGATTTTGAGCCTTATGTTCGAAAAAAAGTCTCTAAAATGCATACAAAACAAGAATAAATGCGTTTTAAAAATTTTTTGACGGTTTTTTTGAGTTTTTCAAAAAACGCCTACGAGTTGAACATGCCCATCGCCAAGGTTGCTTACTGACGTCATTTGGCAACAGAAAAAACAAGACTTACCCTTTAGGTTTTTTTTTTCACCACTCAACCTACAGATTGACTGTACTATTAAGCAACTTTCGCAGTACCGTATCTTCCCTTTTTGTTATAATCTAAGTTTGACTCTTGATTTTCACTTTTCTAACTACCCAGACCTTTCTCTATGGAAAAATTGGTTATTAAGTATGTTAAATAATTTGCACTTTAATCTGAACGTAATAGAGCTATAATGATTTGGTATTTCAGGACGAACATTCCCTGTTGAACAGCTGTTCTTGGAAGACATTATGGAGATAACGAATTATGTGTTGGAAGAAAATGGACCTTATGCTCGTAAAGTTAAGAAAGGTGAGTAATGTTGCTTATGTAAAACACAAAAAAAAATGGTTGCCTGTAAAGTCGGTTTTACGGGCGAAGATTTTACGTGACAACGTCTTTTTCTCGGTAGAATATTTATTGATATGAATATAATTAAATTGCACAATAGGAACAAGGAATTGAATGAAAATAAGAATTGCACAAATTTTAACTATAGAAATATATTTTGTTTACTAAAACATTGTACATGTAAACTTAAACTTAACACGAGAGACTCATCGTAACGTTACCGAGCGTTACACTTTTTCATAAGTGACTCCCAGCCGCAACCTAATTTAAGACGTTGTCACGTCAAAAAAGTCAATTACTTATTATTATTTATTGTGTAGATTTTGCGTACATACGATATATATCTATCTTACGCTTGAGTTTTATCAATACAAAAATGTCAGTATAAAATTAGGCAGTAACATGATAATAAGGTGTTAATATATAAGAAAGCATAGCAAAACAGTGGGCCTAATTAAATCAAGGTGTCTAAGGAAAGAGTTAGGTAGTTCTTACGTCGGGTAAGGGCGTTGCTTAGTTTTCATAGAAACTGACGATGGCGCTACGAATACTTTCTCGTTAGTTGGTCGAACTTGGGGTACTGGTCCTCTAAACTTGAATCTATAGGTTAATTTGACAGTGCTCTTTTTTTCATTCTCTATAGAGCATTATAAGCATATACCGTATAATTATAAGTATTTGACGTATATATTTAATGATAATTAGTTGTACACACTGACTGCCTTTTCAATGTGCTTTCCTGCAATAGGCCTGCTGGAAGAAATTTCAGATTGAAATAAGCTGTGCCCTTGTATTACTATCTTATTTTGTAATTTTTGTCTATTTATAATATGTATTTACAAAATGTATAAAATCAATATCAATGTATAAATATCGGAGACTCATAAAAAACAAGGTACATGGTAACAATCCCGTTAATAGCTGTAATGTTAGTGACCATGAAAGTTTAAAACAATATAAAATGTATAAATAAATAAATAATAAATACTGCTTCCACTGAGAAGCTCGACGGCGCAAGTGGTTAGCGCGTTCGGCTGAAGATAAGCAACTTGCGCAGTGGTCGGTCATTGGATGGGTGACCAAAAATTTACGATCTCGAGCTCCTCCGTGCTTTGGAAGGCACGTTAAGCCGTTGGTCCCGGCTGCATCTGCAGTCGTTAGCGCCCACCAATCCGCACTGGGCCCGCGTGGTGGGTCATGGCCCAATCTCCCTATTCCATCCATAGGGAAGGCCTGTGCCCCAGCAGTGGGGACATTAATAGGCTGATGATGATGACTGCTTCCAGATTTCGTTTAATGTTTAGTAAACATACCAGAATCAGGCCCAGTGTTCCATAAGTATTATAATAAGTATTCAATGAACAAAAACATAACTTTTGTCTCTTTCGTCCTTCCCAAAATTGCTTAGGAGAGAAAAAGACCGATATAGAAACGGAACTAGAAACCGCGGATGTCCGCGCCGATTCGAACGAACCGCCGAAGCAGTCGATACGAGACGACAACCTGACGATAGCGCAGATGTTGGCTCGATACCCGAAGTGCAGCAAAATCACGTGCAAGAACATGTATCTAATGGACACTGAGAAGGTGGGTTTAGTTTTATTACTTACTTTTTGAGTTTATCCCGTTCATATATACAGACAAACAGATAAAAATTCTAAAAACGATATTTTTGGCTTCGGTATCGATTGTAGATCATACCCCAAGTATTCTTTTAAAAAAATATCCAATGTACAGTTTTGACTTTCCTACCATTTTATTATAGGTATAGGTATAGAATTGACGACCTCCGTGTTGCTTACTCTCGGGTTCGAATACCGGTGGGGGAAATGTTAGTCATGCATATTTATATATATTTCTATATAAATATACTTATATATGTATCAAATATATGTATTCTATCCTTTACCCTAGCATCCTTACAGAGCTTACTTTGGAGCTAGGCTAATATGTGAGAGGGTGGGAAATATTTATTTATTTTAAACTCCAGTTTATTGTTAGTTATATTTTTCTTAAATATTCACCCAACATGGTGCAGACAGAATCATAGTTACAGGTCGCGTCATGTAAAAATAACGCTGGAAGAAAGTGGAAGGGGTATGTTTGCGCATGGTGTACCCATGCGCACAAAAGTACTAGGCCTTTTGAATAAAATATTTTTTGATGTGTAACATCTTTCCTCTCGCTTCGTGCAATTTGTGGGAGTGATTACGTGAAGTGGGACGGAAGTGTGTAACAGGAAGTTTGGGCATCGCGCGCTATTTGTTTTGATTTTAGAACATAATGTTCAAATGGCTTATTCCTTTTGTAGTAGGTTTTATTTCTTTTTTTACTAATATAAGGTGAGGTTTCAAATGTTACACATCATACGACTACTGTAAGGCTTTCGCTCGCAGCTTCGTATATTGATTATTCCTAGGTACATGGCAAAAAATATAAGAATATTATTAAATAGAATTAAAACATGTTTAATTCAGTGTAGAATGTTATATTTTTTTAATAAAAGCTTGTAGAAATTAAAGTATTGTTGAAACTCTCTCCATTAGGTCGTCCTGGGTGACACGAAAACCGGATGAGGATGCGGTGTTAGTGCTAGAGGTTACCATTTCATCGTCGTCGCTGTCACCACTTAAGCTTTCGTCATCATCATTATCAGAATCATTATCATCTACCCGAATTATAAACGTTCCGGTCATTGCGTCAACCACGTGATCGATTTTAAATAATCGGCCTCCATTACCTTTACTTTAGTGTATAGTTTTCCCCACTCTGTTACTCCCATTAAATTTATTTTTCATTGACCGACGACCATTTTTTCATTGACGATTTGACAACCTCCGTGGCCGAGTGGTTTGTACGCCGTATTTCATGGTGTCGCCGATTCGAGAGGTCCCGGGTTCGAATCCCGGTGGAGGCAGATGTTTGTGTGATGAATGTTTATAATGGATGTTTAATATGTATTTCTATATAAATATACATATATATGTACTGTATATGTACTCTAGCCGTTACCCAAGTATCCCATAACACAAGCCTTACAGTGCTTACTTTGGGGCTAGGCTAATTGGTGTGAGTGTTGGAAATATTTATTATTATTATTGACCAGGTCAGTTATCCTTGCGAGGTTCCAACATACATTTTTACTGGCGACGTATCCCTTTATTTGGGACCAAGCTATTTCTATGTCATTTAGGTCCGGATGATATAGCGGCAAACGAAGTACAGAATGACTTGGAGCCCTACTCTAATTCAACGAAAAACGAAATTTCGATCGAAACTTCGCACTTTTCTTACTATGTTTCTGGTTCGTTTTTAATTATAATAATATTCGTCGCCGGCATATAGATTTAGGTGTAGATTTTCTAAGCCTACACAAAGAGCTTCAATTTGATAGTTTATCGTTCAAATTAAGTATAACCTTAAATTGACGAAATCAGATTTCGTTTGAACTTCGTTTTCGAATGTTCGTTTCGCAGAAAGAGAGTTCCCCTGTTTCGTTTTTTAATATTGCATCGATATACAATTTCCCGAATTGGTCTTTGTATTTTTTTATCAAGTTGTACAACTCCGGCTTTAGCATAGATTCTTCAAATTCAATTTCTTTTTGACGGAGTCAGGCCTGCATGTACGCTTTCATTGTATTAGACGATGGTGCAGCATCAAGTTGTTTGATGTGGTATGATACATTGTCGACTACCACGACTGAATAAGGAGGTAAATTCGGCATGAGTTTAGTGCGGAGCCACCGCTCGTAATTATTCGAATTCATTTTGTCATGATAGTAGTCGCTTTTTGTACCTGTTTTGAACGTCAGCAAAGCATTCGGTACAAAACCTGCTTCACCAACCGCGTGCACTTTGACCAATCGTCTACCTTCAGACAAAGGTTTTTTGATGCCTTAGGTGGAAGCGTCTTTCCAAGAATGGTGGGATGCATGGGAACTATTGACGTATGACTTATATGATTCATCAGTGTATAAGTTTTCCTTCCTCTCTATATTTTTTATCTTTCTCAGATGATGAACTCTTTTGAATCTAATTTGTGACTGCTCAATTAAAAGTTTTCTATTGGTTTCTGTTTTTTCCACTTAAAGCCCATTTTTTTTAAATATTCGCCTGAGACTTACTGCAGATCCTTCAAATTGTCATCCTGTGACTTTTTTAGTAACTTGCCAATAGGAGGCAATTCTTTTTCAGTCGCGTGGAAATTGTGGATGGTTCTTTTTGTGCTGTGTAAGTGGATAATTTGATGATGACCAGCACTGTGGCTGCTTTACTGCCAGTCGTGGTCGTGGCCGCAAACTTTGCTCCAGCCCAACCGTATCTTCTGCGACCAAGGTTGCGGCTACGGCCACATCTAGTCCGTGAGTTGCCTTAAGTAGATTTTAGGTCCACTTGCAGCAATTTTGCTAAATCACAGTTTAACTAAAACTAGATTTAGCCCATATTTTTTCTGTGGGTTAAATCTAGTTTTAGTTAAATTGAGATTTAGAAAATTGCTGCAAGTGGACCTAAAATCTACTTAAGGCAACTCACGGACTAGATGTGGCCGTAATGAAATTATGAAAACGTAAGTTTGCACAGCTGAATAATTAAACATAGGTAGATACCATTCTGTAGGAAACAATTATAATTTGTACTTAACAAAATGTATTGTATTCACATAATCCAACGATTTCATGCTATTCTAATGTTATTTGCATCAAAAACAACTTCACAATCTTTCCAATTTAATGTCAGTCATATTTTTACACTGGCGTCACAAAAGTCAATATTGGACTTCTTTAATTTCAGATAAACTTAGATTTGGTTGAGCATGTGCTGACGTATATAGTGAATGGAGATCACAAATGGCCAAGAGAGGGAGCCATTTTGATATTCCTCCCAGGGATCGCAGAAATCATGAGTCTACACGACCAATTAGCCGAAAGCCACACATTCAGTCCAAAGTAAGTGAAAAATGTAAAAGTTATTTAATGCAACAACAGAGAAGGTTATTCTATAGCCATAAGATTGTTCTAGTCGCAGACCAAGGTTCGATTCCTGGACAAATCAAAGTAAAAATTTAAACGAAATGATGTAGGTAAGTACTATTTATTGATCAAACTGATTCCTGACGCACTTGCCTGATATATCGCTTAAAAATGTCAAAACACAAGTTTTCATATAGAGAGAGTGCGTAATTGCACTTAGGACCTTATAACAAGGAAACTGTATTAATATGGATCAAAGATCTTTGAAATTTGACCTTTGTTCTCACTGCAATAGATCATTGTATTGATAAAATTAGGAAATAACTTTGAATTTCGAAATCACTCGAAAAAATGTAACAGAAACGTTTCGATTTCTTGAAATGAAGAAAAGCTTTGGTAACGTAATAGAGAAAACCTTAGTTTATGGGTAAAACTCTGCATAATGTAACGTCAACATTACTTTACGGGAAGGCGGCAATAAAAGCGGCTTATGATGATGGGTCGGGAATCAAATTGGCTGATAGTGTTTTTGTCGTTACTCAATATATGAGATTCTATACATTTGATGTTGTTTTTGTTGACTGTAATAAATAAAATTAGACCAATATGCATTAGGCCATCAGATTTTTCAAGACTGCCAAACTTATCTCAACGAATTTTTAACTTATAAGGGTTAAAAACAAAGAAGTAAAGGTCACATTATGAGAATAGAAATTGAACTTTGTTGAAATTTTATGTTTTATAATGACAATGATGTCGAATTCTCTAAAATTAAAACTGAATCTTACACCAGTCTCTCCTTTTTATTCTGTAAGAGAATGACAAGGATACACTGTTGTCTGATTAAATATTAAGTTTAAAGAATCATCCCAGAATCGACACCACTATCATAGTTATTTAAAGATACCTTATAATCCAAATTACTAATGTTCCTCAGAACAGGTAAATACGTCCTTGTGCCTCTACACTCCACGTTATCGAGTGAAGAACAAGCGTTAGTATTCAGAAAACCTAGACCGGGAGCTCGCAAGATTGTGCTTTCAACAAATATAGCCGAGACTTCTGTTACTATAGACGACTGCGTTTTTGTAATAGACTGCGGCCGCATGAAGGAGAAAAGGTGAGATGAATTAGTCTTATATTGACTCAAATTAGTCTATGCTTTGAAGCTTATTGCCTCAGATCAGCGTTTACTTTGGTTATAATTTTATTTTTTTAAGCATGTAACTGCTCGATGTTTAAATCTAAAGAAAATATTACTAGAAAAAATTCCACGCGGACCAGGCAGCAGACGGGACTCGAACCCGCACCCTTCGCTATCCTGGCGAATGCACTGACCAATTTTGCTACCGCGGCCCTGATGGCCGTATCGATTTTTTTCTAGCCTTTCTTAAGCTACAAGGCCTATACTATACTTTGGTTCCAAGTTTTATCCAAATAATAATGAATGAGTAATTATCTTTATTGTACACCATAATTTTGCAATAGTTAACAATTTGAAAGAAAAAATATTAATAATTTTACTGAATACTCACGAAAAGATAATAGTTTTTATATCTATTGTCACGTGATCGAAAACGCCTGGGATTGGCGGAGCCTAAAATGACGTCACACACTAGTAAATTTCCGGTCAAAGTGACATTACATTGTATCGTTTGACGTTTTAATGACAGTCGTGTGACGTCACACACCAGTGAGACGCCATATTACCCAGAGAGAAGTTTAGTTATTTTTACTGAAATACACAAGAGAATAATAAATATCTACTTTTTAAGGACTCCATAAACATTAGTAAGTAACGTTAGATCTTTTTCCAAAACTTGTCAAATACCCTATTATTATGGTTTATTGGTTAATATTTCTGTAATTCTGCACTCCGCAGCCTCGCTCCGCTCCAGTGGAGAGACAGCCTTAAGCTCAGCCATCAGTGGCAACATTACAATAACGATGATAAAATTGTTAATTACAGATTCGACTCGAATCGCAATATGGAATCGCTAGATCTAGTATGGGTATCTCGTGCGAATGCTAAACAACGTCGCGGTCGAGCCGGTAGAGTGATGCCCGGTGTATGCGTTCATCTGTACACTTCCCATCGATTCAACTACCATATATTAGAGCAACCAGTACCAGAAATACATCGGATACCGCTAGAACAACTAGTACTGAAGATCAAAATACTGCCGTTGTTCCAAGATATGAGCGTCCATGAAGTCTTAGGTGAGTCTTGAGTGTACTAAATATATTTTGTAGCGAAACAATACTGAGACTAGCTGGTAAGTGATGCCCAATGTATGCGTTCATCTGTACACTTCCCATCGATTTAACTACCATATATTAGAACAACCAGTACCAGAAATACATCGGATACCGTAAGAACAACTGATGTTGAAGATCAAAATACTGCCGTTGTTCCAAGATATGAGCGTCCATGAAGTCCTAGGTGAGCCTTGAGTGTACTAGATATATTTTGTAGCGAAACAATACTGCATCTAGCGGGTTAGTGATGCCCAATGTATGTGTTCATCAGTACACTTCCCATCGATTTAACTACCATATATTAGAACAACCAGTGCCAGAGATACATAGAATACCGCTAGAACAACTGGTGTTGAAGATCAAAATACTGCCGCTGTTTTAAGATATGAGTGTACTCGAAGTTTTGGGTAAGTAATAATACCAGACGTATTATATGCGTGCATCTGTTCATGTAATAGCCACACAAGTATCGTATAATAAAGAAATAAATACCAGAAAATCAAAATAATGCCGTTGTTCGAAGATATAAGCGCCCATGATGTCCTAGATGAGTGTCTGCTGTTATATGCGTGTATCTGTACATTGATAGCGATACAATTATCATATTGACACAAACGCTGTCAAAACAAAACTGCGAAAATATTACAGGCAGAATTTACCAGAACACCAAGGAATTTTAGCAATAAAGGTCGAGTGGTGCGGCTCATTCTAATATGAGCCTTATGCAGAGCAGCGTAAGGGAGAAAGTGCAACGACACCCTCACTTGTTTACAACTTATGCGCATTACCTACGTATATGTAGGCACTACGCACTCGCGGGTGCTAGTTAATTCTCAATTTACCGGGACTTTTCTAGAATGCGTCGATTGGCGTATCGCAACAGACAATTTTGGTAAGGAAGCGATAACAGTTGAGTTTCAACAGCGATTTCGGAACGTATACATACGAAGGCGATCACAGTGCAAGTAAAGTGTTCAAGTGCGATTATTTAAAGACTTATATAGTTGAAATACAGTGTTTAGTGAGTGTACTGTAATTAACATGGTGTGTAAATTGTGTATTGAATAAAGTACTGTCAAGCGTGAACTGGCATATAATTTCGAACCCCATCCTGACACGTAACAATATTATTATACTGAAGCGATCAGTGTCGGAGCAATCAACACCAAAGATACATAGGGTACTGCTGGAACAACTAGTATTTATGATAATGAGTGCCCATGAAGTCCTAGGCGAGTGTCAAGTGATGCGCGCATTTATACAATTGATACTGGTACAAATTCATGATATTGGAGCATCAAATTTCAATAAATTATCTTTGAAACTTACCTCTAAAAGGCCTCTCTCTTACTGAAGATTGACTATTATAACGGGGCGTAAGACAACTTATTTGAGCCTTAACAGTATATTATGATCCCATTAATTCTTAAAATTAAATAAAAAAAAGTTCGTGCTCCTATACTCACCTCTATGACATAGGCATCATACGGCAAAAGAATTTATTTCGTCACGCGATGAAAAATATTGTGCACGATCGCACTATGACTTGCGTTGCGAGATCCAATCAGAACACGAAACAAAGAGATTGTTTAAGTTGTTTACTCTCGTTGTGCGGCCAATCAGCATCGTTTGTTACATGGAGGAGAGAGAAGGAGAACGATCGCTATGTACTAAAGCATTAGCCCACCTGTACTGAAAATTTGTATGATTTATAGTTCATTTTTCAGCCACCAGTCGCGCTGCCGTCGGTAAATAGTATCTATGAAGTTAGTTTAATAATGTACAAATTTTCTTCGCGACATTGGTCATTTCAAATTAGCCCGGTTTTATTGAGACAACTTAGCGATCTCAGCGCCTCACTTATTTTGTCCATATTTCTGGGACACTATTTTCTACAGCGATCGTTCTCCTTCTCTCTAACCCCCATGGTTTGTTCGTAGAATGATAGCAAATAAGGTCATTTTTGATATCCGAATTTCTTAGTTCTACGCTTATTTTACTTCACACATTCTCTTGACCAGGTAAAACAGTCGAACCTCCGACCAAGACGAACGTAGACGGCGCCCTCTGTCGGCTTCAAGACGTGGGCGCGTTAGACAAGTCGTTCTCTCTCACCGCGTTAGGCAAGCATCTGGCCGAGTTGCCGGTAGACGTGCGGATAGGCAAGCTGATGCTGTTCGGGGCCATATTCTGTTGCGTGGACTCTGCTCTGACTATGGCGGCATGTTTGAGCCACAAGAGTCCGTTTGTTGCGCCGTTCGGGAAGAAGGTATGTGGTTTTAAGCGCTCTTGTGTTAGTATTTTTAAAACATAAATATACTTATCTTTCGTGTTGTGTCGTGACGCGCCAGAGAGCGTCATTTTGGTTGGTCAATGGTTTTATACATTTAGTGCGGTTAGAATTATTCTTGTTTTCGCGATATGTCGACAGAGTCTAAACGGATGGAACTGATAGCGACACAACACGACAGATCAGTACCCTTACCACGAACCATTATTGAATTCGAATAGTTTGCGAGTCCGAAATGTCATTGTCAAATTTTGTATGGAAACTTGAACAGCAACGTCACGTATTGATTTACAATACACATTGGACAATTACATCGTACGAATTCGATATTGGTTCGTGCTAAAGTATATTAGATAGATAGATTAACACTTTAATATAACACCAAATACATAATTACATAACATTCACAAAAAATAAACTTAACAAAAGTTATAATTCCCGTTGGACGTTGTTTAATCTGTCTTACTGCGTAGATAACTTACAGGTTACAGAAATAATGTTTTCCTGCCTTAATTGGCTCTTTCGTTAAACGTTTCTTTTGGTACTTGTTTTAAAGTACTTAGAGACACCTGTTAGATTTTAATACCTACATATGTATGACCAATACATATTGTCAAACGTAAATAGAGTAAGTTTGATATTTATTGATTGTTAATTGAGAAAATCTTTAAGAAGCCGATATTTAATATCCGACGACCTCCGTGGTCGAGTGGTTTGTGCGGCGAGTGTCAAGGTGTCGCCTGAGTGAGAGGTCGGAATCAGGGTTCGAATCCCGGTGGAAGCAGATGTTTGTGTGATGAATGCCAGCATTTGTACTCCATTCATGGATGTTTAATATGTATTTCTATATAAATATACTTATATATTTATCAGTATATGTATTCTATCCGTTGCCCTAGTATCCCATAACACAAGCCTACAGTGCTTACTTTGGGGCTAAGCTAATTGGTGTGAGTGTTGGAAATATTTATATTTATTTAACGTTAAAACTAGCAACATATTGACCAAACCTAATGATCATCATAAACATGTCGGTGCCATATTTTACAAAATAGCTGAACAAACTTTTTTAAATTGAGTTTAATTGATAAAATTTCATGAAAGTGGCTATAGAGTTCTATATATAATAGAATCTCCTAGCTAAATAACCAAAATCAGAGTACCTTGTATGCGATTATTTTATATGATATTACTATTTTCTTGTTCACAGTCAGAAGCCGACGCTAAGCGAAGAGAATTCGCGTGGTCCAACAGTGACCAACTCACAACGCTTAGAGCTTATAGGGTAAGAAATTTCATTTATTAATAATATATTACTGGCAACAATTATTTACGTGTAACTTGCACTATCATCCTTCGCCCTAAAATATATTAGAAATTTCTGGGTCTTATGTTATAATTCTCTAAACCTAAAATAAATCATAGTGTTTCAGCAGTATGTTCCACCTTATCAAACTCTTTTAGAGAAAGAAAAAAAAACAGAAAATGCTGTTTTGAGTTAAGTTATCCATGCCAGAATCAGGCCCTATGTGTAGGTTTTATAAATGAAAGAAGTAAATAGATCGACAATGTATAATAATACTGTAAATGTATCAATACCCGTTATCTTCATAAAATGTTGACAATTGTTTTTAGAAATGGCAACACGCTATGAAACGGAGTACGCACGCGGCTCTCGTATTCGCTAGTGAAAACTTTCTATCGCACAAGACAATGTTAATGTTGGCCGACATCAAGCATCAGTTATTGGGCTTGCTGGCTTCTATAGGCTTCGTGCCGGATATGCCCGCGCTGAGACGGAAGATGAGGAAGGATTCCGTCGAAAGTCTTACAGGAGAAGAGGTGAGTTATACTATCTTTGTTATGTTTAGGTGTTAAAGTTTGATAGACTATGTAAATCGTAACGGGTCGGTTTTGTAGTACTAAAAGTTTCAAAAAAATGTAAAAAAAGAATTGTTTTATCTGTCTTACTGCGTGAAAAATTTAAAAAATTAAATAACTATTTATCACACATGTTTATCTATTTCTCTAACAGACTTGAGACTCACTCCCATACTCAAAGACGTCAGTTATTTTTAATCTTTTAATGAGTCTAAATTTTGCTGCCTCTGAGAATGGCTTTTAGTTTTAGAATTATTCGACAACAGAAATCGTTCCTTTTCCGCCCAAAACTTCACAGCTCTATTGCTATATAGTATTATAACTATTATTATATCTGCATACAGTGTTTTTTTAATAATTATGTGTATTTTCTTTTTACAGTTAAACACCAACGGTAACAATGATAGACTTCTATCAGCTATTCTTTGTGCGGCTCTGTACCCTAATGTTGTCAAGGTAAACTTTGTAGATTTATTTTTTAAAGCAATTACAAATAAATTTTAATTTAACTTGATAATTTATTGAAGTTAAGCCATTGTTTGTATTTTGGTCATTTATTTTTCAGTTAATAAAATATTTAATTTATTTCAATCTGGATTGTGGAAGATGACAAAAAGCCTATGTTGAACTTACCGATGATAAAAATGTATACGCGCGTCTTTTAAGTAAAAATTATAGCTTTTCCACTTCTTCTCCTTCACAAATGGTTGTCATGCAAAGTCTCATAATCATCCATTAGCAATTTGCGCTCCAAAATGGATAAGAGATTTATATATAAATGGATAAGATACATACGAAAGTTTTTCCTTCATGTTTTCATGTAATGATTCTTACATTTGTTCTGAAATCTTTATCCAGGTATTATTATCAGAGAAATATTTAACATGCAAGCCGGCGGGGCTATTCTCGCCAGCCAACTCCCGACGTATTTCTAAAACATTATTATATTATTTGTGAAAATATTAGCTTTCCCTTTAAACATTTTTTAAGCAAAATCTCACATTCCTCCGTGAGCCAAATGCGCTTTTAAAAGGGGTACTTGCGAACATTTTTCCTCCACGTACTTCTTGTAAACATTTTTACTTATTTATTCCAAAATCTTCATCCAGGTATTGACACCAGAGAAATCGTTTCACATGCAAGCCGGCGGGGCTATTCCTCGTCAGCCGACTCCCGACGAATTAAAGTTTAAGACTAAGTCCGACGGTTATGTGGCTTTACACCCTTCGTCTGTTAACTCAAACGTGGGTCATTTCGTCAGTCCTTACCTGGTTTACCAGGAGAAAGTGAAAACTTCGAGGGTCTTCATCAGGGAATGTTCTATGGTGCCGCAATTGCCTCTACTGCTTTTTTCTGGTGAGTAAATTTTGGGTCTGTCTATGATAGGGGGTCAACCATAAAGTACGTCACACTGATTACGTGATTTTTTTACCCCTCCCCCGTCCTTGTCACAGTTGGTCACATTTGCGAGTCCCGCGCCCTCCCTAGTGTGACGTCACATATTTTGCTATTTAGAAATTATATTTATACAGCAGTTCTGAAATAAGTTCCGAAAATTAGCCAAAGAACAAATGAAACCCCACACAGATAGAGATCTACATATTTTAAAGATATTCGATAATAGTTCAAAAGTAGGAATTAGATTTTTGAATGTGACATCACGAAACTTAGGACTCCCTCCCATCCCACTCCTTGTCACTCAATGACACTTCGTCAATGCCCTCCTTCTTTATATATCTATACTTTATGGATGACCCCTAATAGGAATTGGTCTGAAAAGGATAGACTTTTGAAACGCGACGCCATCAGACGCCAAACGACGCGTGTTGAGTCAAATCAAATGCACTATTTTCTATGATCGATGCACACACTGATCATAGAAAATACGAGGCGCGTGGCGTCGCGTTTCAAAATACTGTTTCGACTTTTAAGGATAATTAGCTGTGCTCCGCGGTGTTACCCGCGATATTTTCCCGCAGTAAAACGTAGACTATGTGTTAATCCAGGGTGTCAGCTAACTCCATACCAAATTTTATTAAAATCGCTCCAGCCGTTTAGCCGTGAAGAAGTAACAAACATACACACTCACAAACTTTCGCGTTTATAATATTAGTGTGATAGTGTGATGAGTGTAACGTAGAGACATTTAGCGTCGAACTTGTAAACTACCGTTGTCTGTATTCTAATCTAATACTTAGTCTAATCTGTGAACAAAAATTCTAATTTATATATTTTTATTAGGCGCCAATATAAAGCTTACAGTATACCCTTTGAGTTGAATTCGTTCTTGATATACGTCAAATGTGTAGTGGTGTTCAAGTTTCTATACAAAATTTGACAAAGAAATTTCACACTCGCAAACGAATTCGATATTGGTTCGTGCTAAAGGTCATAATTTTAATAATCTTAGTTTTATGAATAGAAACTCGACATCACAATGAGGCTAAGTTCCGCTCCGGCCTGTTGTTATTTTTTGTTCAATTTACTCTTTTACTGTGTTGCACACATAGTAAATGGTTCTGCTGTTCTTAATAGATGGCAGTAGTGCCGAGTTTGATTATCTACATTGATTTATGCAGATAACCGTATTTTTTGTAGGTTAGTTAAGCGCTAGTTTGTTCTTACGTCCGGCAGGAGCGTTGCTTAGCTTCCATAGAAACTTTGACGATGGCGATACGTATACGGTACCCCTAGCACGAACCATTATCGAATTCGTAACGTTTTCGAGTCCGAAATGTCATTGTCAAATGTGTACTGATTTTTAGTTTTCGTTACGTACTTTGCGGCGTTGCTGTTCAAGTTTTCATACAAAATTTGACATTGACATTAAGCACTCGCAAACTATTCGAATTCGATAATGGTTCATGCTAGGGGTACGGATCTGTCAATGTTTATACTTAGGGTACCCCGGGATACAGTGTAAAATTGAATACAGTAGCTCTCTTTGCAATTGCTCTGTGGTCGTAGATAAAAAAATGGAATAAAACGGATCTCCTCAAATTAAACGTTTTTAAAAATCATAATGGCTATATGGCATAATATTATTAACCTTGTACGATATAACGAGTAAAAAAAGTTAAAAGTTGGCCTTTTTTTTACTGAAATATGTGTGATTTCTCTGTCACCAATTACACTTTTTGTTTGGTTCCAGGTTGCAATTTGTCGGTGGAACTGCACAACGGTACTTTCACTGTGTCCTTAGAAGACGGCTGGATTATGTTTCAAGTGGAAAAGCATGAAGTGAGACTTTTTAAATTAGACTTAATTATTTTACCGAGTAAAATTCACGGAAAAATACCACTGTAAAAATTGGCACTTCTGTGACCACAGTCTGCGTGAAAATATATATTTTTTTATTAATCTCAGCGATGCAAAAAGATACGCAGTTCCTATGGAAAGATCAAACCGCGATCTTAAATATTTGTACTAAAATAAAATAGATAATATACATTTGATAACCTATTTATACAGTTTTGCTTTTGGAATACGGTGCAATGTCGTTTGCATTACTGTCACAACTAAATCAAATGCGAGCTGACTAAATTAGTGCCATTTATCCCCAAGTATTTGATTACCATGTAAAAGAAGAGGTATTTCAAACCGTATATGGTAAGGGATTGGTTTGTTTGTATGGAACTAATTTTATAAAAATACCTAAGTGAACTCATTGCTATCAACAAGAAACACTTATAGTTTTACAATGTGGACCCGTCCGTCTGTCTTCAGCTTAGCTAGTTTCTATAATACTTAAATTAATTACACCGAGCAGTGATTTAACATAATCTTGAATAAAACGTTTTTTTGGGTATTCGTTGTCTTTGAGATGATAACATAACATAGGAGAAAATTTAAATTTGTCACGTTCCCGTTCATTTACATTAACTGTATGGTCATACATTACATAAGGTCAATGAATCGAATGCTATTAATGTTTTACCAATATAATGTATAAGAACTTTATTATTTCAGGTTGCCGAAATGCTCAAAACAATAAGAGTGGAACTAATAAACCTACTCGAGGAGAAAATTAACGACCCAAGTTTGAATTTACTACACTACGAGAAAGGCAACAAAATCATCAAAACCATAGTGCAGGTCATTAGTAAAGACTAATTGGCGATATCCGAATTTATACCTTATATCAAGTAGCTTAAATTATGGATCTCAATCGACCTAATGAGTTATGTCAATTGTTTTTTTAGTAAAATGTTATTCAAATATATTGTATATTTTGATCATATATACGCCTAGATAGAGCAATCCAAATCACGCAATGTATGTGTGACTCTAATGTCAAATTGTACTAAAGCAGCTAATGTGCCTAGCGACAACAATATGTACCATATGGTAGATATGCTCGTCGCTATACATATCAACAAATATCAATTACATATGTAGTTGATACGGTATCTAGGATATATATAATCAAAGATTGTGCACTAGTGAAATGATAACTGTGAATCAAACGAAACGCGAAATGACAGTACATCGAACGCGTTATGGTTAAAGTAAAATCGACTCAATTAACATTGCCATTAGAATCAGTTTGTGTAATTTTATATTGAATATACAACTGTAGTCTATTTATCATTAACAAAACATCGTTTTAAATACCTTTAGAGTGAAAATCGCTTGTAAATTGTTAACTTAAAAACTATAAAGCTTTATAGTTATATTTTGCTAGAATCTCGTAGTATTGACTGAGTTATGACCTGAGCAGACGAGGAACTTTTGCCCGTGGACTTTTTTGCCGCCAAAAATAGATCTTACAATTGCATCGAGTAGCACACGAGGAATTAAACAGACCAAAGGTACGCGGGAATCCCCGAAATAATAGAACTCATAGTAGAAAATATTAACAATCTTCGTCCCTGTAGAGTGCGATTAAGATCTTGTGACACTCGGATGACATAGACAGGAGGGCGCTGCTGGTGAATAAGTGGTGAATTACATAAAATGTCTTCACTAAAGGCAGCCTTGTAATTAATAATGCATGGGAAAGGGTGATAGAAAAGGCTAATTTACACCTTCGTCTTTATTTAAGCTTATTTATAACTTCTTAAAATTTTAATATTAGGTCCTTACATATGAAATAGGCGTTTTGTAAGGGAGGAATATAAAGTTTTTTTTGTATAGTATATTTAACTAATCAAAGTATGCACCGTTGTTATCTATGCGCTTTTGCCATCTCATAGGTAGTTCATTGATCCCTTTACAAAAAAAAACATGGGGCGCGAATCAATAAACTCTTTGAAGGCGGTTTGGACTGCCGCATCGGAGTTAATTATTTTTCTTGTAAAAAGTTGTTCCTATCCACCCATAATCCTTCGAGCTGTTTCTGCAGCACTAGTGTCACAGTAGAACTCGTACTCGTAAATATACCGATATTTCATGTTTTCCATTGTGCGGTAATAAGCGACGCCAAAGAAAAAATAATGAGGAAAAAAAACAAACGAATGACTGTTTTCAAAACTCAAATGTACCAGTTAAATGAATTTATAAATTTGAATCTTAACCAAAGAGGAGATATTTCAAATCCAAGTGGTCAGTACGACAAAACGCTAATGTCATATGTAAGGACCTAAAATATACACATATATATCAGTGGCGAAGCCTCCTTAGAACACGATTCCCATCGGCTTCCCTTGGCAGATTCTAATACTAATACATTCATTCTAATACATTATAGCATAAGCGACCACGTACGTATAAAAACGATAATGTAAGCGACATAATAACATTGCGCGTTTTGTAAAAATATTATTCAATATGCTGGGTACAAAATACGCAATGTATTTGAAATCGCGCAAACGCACCACAGGTCCGCGCCGCGGTGGTAGGCTGGTGAACTCGCTCTAGTTTTTGGGAATTCAAATAGTTAAAATGTAAGCACTTCACGCACACATACACATTACTACCACATTCAACCATTCGTAGCTATAACAGAGTTAATAACCCGATCTTAGATAGCCTGCAACCTTTATTTGTCATGTGTTAATGTTTCGTTTCGCTTGAAAAGTTTTCGACCAATCATCGGTTTCGACCGGTCACCGCGCCAAGCCGGCGGTCTGTTAGGTCACCTGAGGTCATTATTTCGCGCGCATTCGCATGGACGGATTCGTATGCTAATTTATCCATTGTGATAGTGATTAGATTGATTGTGGTACCTATATGGTTTATAAAAACCCAAATTATTGAAACTTTACTTGCCAAGTGTTGTGTAAAATCTTGTGTTTCATCGTAAAGGTTTGTTTGTTATTTTTAATATCTTGTCGTCACGTAGGAATGGTGGCGTTAGTACAAATAGATTATTACCTTACATATTACCAATTAAATTAGTTAACTCCGTTCTCAAAAAAATCGTTCTTAAGATATGACGTTTTGCTTATTCACGCATTTTTTTTGGTCCGGCTTTACCTTTCTATTTTTTCACCCCACGCCACTGATATATAACAAATAAAATATTTAGGTTCCTAAAATATGTTCCCAATTTGGCCACGCGCCACAGGATCTTGGTCACACTGTAAGGTTAAATACGATCTATTATTTTCCTTTTCTAAAAGTAAACATTGAAAATGTAATTGCGTCCGATATTTTGTCGTATAATATAACAAACAACTGAATTATTACAATACCAACGACGTAATACACAAAAGTTGGTCCTACAAGAAGATTAAGATGCCTTAGACTGTACTATTCTATTAAAAGTATGTTGTCTACTTATAAGTGATCGGTTGATATTATGTTTTGCTATTTACAGCAGACACCTACTGTAGTTTTAATAAATTATTTTCTCGCTGTGATCTTATTAATAAAACTTCTGTTTGCATAGTATTTTTCATATAGTTTGAATTTTAGGAAAGGTTTTGTATATAGGTATCTAAACAGGGTACCACTTGTCGTATGTTTGTAAGAAGTGCAATCAGAAAATAATAATTTTATATTTTTGCCTGTATTTATTTATTTACAGGATATAATTATGTCGAAGTGTGACAAAATTTCGTTTTCGATACACTGATTAAGTAGTAAAAATATATACATATATGTTTTATAATTTGCCAGTTTGTTAATTACATAATGTTATGAATTGTTGATCTGTCTTTTTAGAATCACCAGTTTTGTAGATCGTTTGACTTTGTTTTCGAACATATTAAAAATAAGGCAAAGAGAATAACTTTACAGTGTGTAATGATATTTATGTTGCCGAATACCTACAGAAATATAATAAATATTTTCCCATAAAAGCTTGCCTTTTTATTAATGACAACTGAACACCAGTAACCAAGGGTGCCCCCCCCCCCCCCCTAGAGATCAAATGTAGCAAGCCTCCTTAGACTTCCTTACCTAATATATTGCCCCCTGGGTCTGACAAATCAGTAAAGATAAAGACAAAAATACACACTTAGACATTAATCAGACCACTGTAATTACGTGAATAAATAAATATATATAAAAAAAAATTGCCCCCCCTACCCCCCTCTTAGCCATAAGCTGGCGACGCCCTTGCCAGTAACCTAATTGAAATTACCATAGATTCAAATGAACAAATAAACCTTATCTCGCCGGTTCCATAACATTTTTGTGTCCTACAACATTACGCTGGCATTGATGGAAAGAGATCCGATATTTCTCCACAGCAAACATGGAGGTATAAAATATAGACGTGATCCATCACTGCGCGGTGTCCGACCGAGACACGCGGCCTAACGACCGGCCACATAGGTGCCTATATTTCACTAAAGAAATGTCAGGAAAAGTCAAGCGTGAACTTGGATTTTCACTATCTTAATAGTAGTAAGGTTAACAAAAAAAAATCTCAAGTTTTTTTTTAATTCTATATTTCACTAATGAATCATCGGGAGCAAGTTTAATTTAGATTTTCTTTACTCTAATAACACAGGAAAGCCAAGTTTGAACTTGGATATTCACCATCATAATAGTGTAAGGATGAAGAGGAAAAAAACAAATTCTCAAGTTTTGTAATATTATTTTATATTTCACTAAAGAAGCGTCGGAAGCAAGTTTAATTTGGATTTTCTTTACTCTAATAATGGATGTTCTGGAGTTTAATAAAGTGAATAAATATCAAAATTGGTTGCTTTTTAGGGTTCCGTACCTAACTAAAGTTTAAAAATACTCAGACTCCACTGTCCGTCTGTATGTCTGTTACTAGGCTGTATCATGAATCGTGCATATGTTGCCATTATAACAACAAATACTAAAATCAAATAAATAAATATTTAAGGGGGGGGGGGGGGGGCTTCAATACGGCAGACTTATTTTTTCTCGATATTTTATTATAGTGTCCAATGCTGTATAGTTAATGGCAGAGAACCCCTCGTGCGCGAGTTCGCTTCACACTTGACTGTTTTTTATTCTTTTAGGAAGAAGTTTTGTAGGTTAATAATTTTCGTAAGTAAGTATGAGTCTATTACTCATTTACATAGACAGGATTGGGAGAAGCCTGCCCAGAAGAGCATAGGGTAGTTTAAGAATTGCCCAACTAATGAAAAAAAATACAAGAGTCTTACATCTGGTTTGTTGACGCGGTTATTGCATAACACCGTTTTATGATACGAAGTAAGTTTTCGAATCTACATTAACAACATTCGGGTGTTTATACAATGCCGTGTGAATTAACCTAAGACGAGAAACAGCTTACTAATAAAAATGTTTATGCTCTGTTCCTACTACAGTATTTTCAAACTTCTAAAAAGCGCATAATCTCAGAGTTTTAAATAAGGGCTTTAAAAACAAAAAACGTTGGTGCAATAAATAATAAATTTGTATTGTTTACATTAATAATGTTTCAATAATAGAAAGAAAAATGGCAGCCGGCACCACATTAGATTCATAATTTAAAACGGCGATCCCTAAAAATCGGAAGGGCCTCGATTCGCGCGCAATTCCAATAGTGCGGGCCGGTCGTAAAACGCACGTGTCCGCCCGCTACATGTGTACTTTAAAGGGCGAACTTTAGGCTTCGTCCGAGTTCTGCGATGGGATACACAGGACATTCCCGCCTTGCCCATCGTCAAAATGATTTGGTTTTATCATCATAACTATAGCAATAAGTCTGTAGCAAAACTTGGCAAAACTTATCGATAGTATGT